ATGGAGGGGGAATAGAGGGGGGAGGAAGGGAAGGGAGGAAAGAAAAAAGGAAAGAGGAAAACAGAAATGTACCTTTTTTCAACCGTACTGTCATTTCCTGTCCCTTTATGGTCACAGAGGGAAAAAGCCACACATCAGGATCTTGGGTACCAACAAGGTAGTTCTTGGAGAGAAATGTGAACTATTTCTACAACTCAGGCAGGGAAAGCTGGATCAAAAGAACTCCCTTGGCTGAAACCTAGGGACATGTAGGTATGTGTGAAAATAGTTGCTAGGCAGAGAAAGGACCTAAAAAATGTCGGAGAGACACAGCTGTCGAATTTATTCATTTTAATACTGTTTTAAGATACTTATTAAGCACCCACGGTGTGAAGCATACTGCACACTAGTCAGTGTTAGTCAATCTTCTAGGTTCAGTGGGGGGAATACAGAAGAAATGGAGGCTGAAGGGTTTGTCTTCTAGGATATGACGGGCAGAACCAAAAGAACAGGCAGAACAGGATAATATTTGCAAAGTAGTTTACTGTCCAAGTAAAAGCAGAACAAAATGGAGCCAGAAGAATATACACTGAGGAAATGCAGGAAAAAAATGAGAAAAATCACTTGCGCTAAATTTAATGGAACAAAAAAGAGAGAGGAACAGAATGTAAAATTCTAAAAACTACATGATAAAATTTAAGACACCTTCCTGATTTAGGAGGAAGGTAATGTAAAAAGGACAGAGGAGTACAGTGCGTGAAAGCCAGCTGATGTGGTTAAAGACTTAGGGCATTGAGGGAGTGGGAGTGGAAGAGTGCTGTGTGAGTAGCCAACAGGAAGCCCTGGTTCCATCCCAGTAGAGAGGGACAGGGAGGGGGGAGGGAGGGAGGGAGAGGGAGAGGGCCTGAGACTCTATCAAAGCAAAATCTTTTTATGAGTTAAGGTAGTTAGTTATCCTTACATTTTTCTGATTACCATAAGGATCATTCAGGGTGACTTTCAAAACCATAGTTTTTCAAACTCCTAGTTTCTGTTCTGCTCTTGAGGATTCACAATTGGTATGGTTGGTAGATTATTAAAATATTGTATGCTAGGGAAAAAAAAGAAACTGATACAGTCTTCTTTTCCCCAAGACAATTGTTACCAGAAAAGATATTTTTACTCCTTTAATCTATTTGAATTTATTAAAAAGGAGACCTACGTTCCTTATGAAAGAAAATTTCATTAGAACTTTGTCTGGAAAAGAATCAGCCAAAATTATGAAATTAATTTTATCACTAACATATTTTAGATTACAGACAGCTGTGTGCTAATTCTAATATCTTGACAATTTTTGGGAATATAATTTTTTATATGGCTATCATTTACTTTGAATTGGAGGGCTTTATTTTCCCCATTCTTTCTCTTAAGCCTTTTTTTTTTTTTCTTTTGAAACAGGGTCTTGCTATGGAGTCTGGGTTGGCCTTGAGCTCACTTTGTACCCCAGGCTGCTCTTGAACTTGCAACTATCCTCGTGCCCCAGCCTCCTGAGTGGTGGGATTACAGGCTTGCACCACCTCTCATAAGCCTTTGAAATCAAATTATCTCCTTTTGAAGTTATTGATGTCAACATCATTCTTACTGATTTTCTTTCTCATTTATTACCTGATCCAAGTCTATGAGATCTTCTTCATTAGTGACTTTGCATGTGGATCTAAACAGTTCACCAACATCCCTTTTTAAAAAAATCAACCTAACTTTTATCAATTTTATGAAATTGCACATCTTTTGCAAGATTTGCAATAGATTACTGTTGCATTTGTGAGCTGGGTATTTCCAAATGAATGACCAAGGCTTTGACAGATGTAGTGAAGGCACTAGGCTTACAGATTGGGCAACTACATGGCAAGCAATTTCACAAGTTGTTCTTTTCACCCTGGAAGTACCCCCCGGAGATAGGCACTATTTCTTTCTTTCTTTCTTTCTTTTTTTTTTTTTTTTTTTTTTGCGGAACCAGGGATTGAACTCAGACCCTTGCGCTTGCCAGGCAAGGGCTTATTCTACTGAGCCATCTCCCCAGCCCCACAAGTTGTTCTTTTATCATCAAATATTTCAGATTTTGAAGACTTTTGCCTCTAAGAAATGGCCTAATAGAATTCATCAGAATCTATAGGACAAAGATCACAAGGACAAGGTATATGCTGTTGTGTTTGACTGGAGGAAGGGATAAGGTGGTGAAGTGGAAGAATTACATATGCAGTTGTGCCAAGCAGTCAAACTGAATGAGGCTGTTTCAGGAAGCAGAAAATCAACATGGAGGTGCAGGGGATGGGGTGATAGCTCACTGGCAGAGGTACCTGCCTGGCAAGAGCAGGATCCCAAGTTCTAGCCCTGGTACTGAAACAAACAAACAAACAAACAAACAAAAAACATGGAGGTGCAGAAACTGTAACAAGAGTGGCTCAGGAAAAGACTGAATTATCCTTCTTTCACTCAAGTCCTTTGGAGTTCACATCTTAAAACAGATTGCTGGGGATACTGGACATGGAATTATAGGATTTAATGTGTGCCAGGCTGGATTTTGGATTTGTTGCTGCTTGCTGCTATGCCATCTCCTGGAAGACCCTCGCCTCTTTTTTTCTATGTGTGGCTGGGGAATTAAGCCCAAAGCCTTGCACATTCTAGGCAAGTGCTCCACCCTTGAGCTAACTTTCAAGACTAACATTCTTAATATATTAACGATCCCATCCATGATCATTATTTAGGTCTACTTTTATTGCCTTCTATCATATTTTGTAACGTTTTCCATAAAGAACTCTCACCACTTCTATTAGATTAATCCTTGTTACATTATAGATTTTATTGCAAATGATTCTTTTCCTCCTACATTTTCTTTTCTTTTCTTTTTCTTTTTTTTTTTTGTGGAACTGGGGATTGAACTCAGGCCATTGCGTTTGCCAGGGAAGCGCTTATTGTACTGAACCATCTCCCCGGTCCCCTACGACATTTTCTAACTGTTGCTGGTAAACAGAAATATTACTGAGTTTTGAATACTGATCTTGGAAGTACTGTCAATATTTAAATTGTTGTTAGTATTTTTCAATGCAATCTCTTGGATTGTACTAGGTAGTAATTTTTTTCCATAATTTTATTGAGAAACAAATAGCAATGAGACAGTTTCAGACCAAATTGGTAGGACAGTTTCAATAATTAGCACATTGCATACATTTTTTTTCCTTTTCAAAGTTTTATTGATAAACATATAGCAATGAGACAGTTTCAAATCAAATCGAAAGTACAGTTTCAACAAATAATACACTGCATACATTCTTCTCA